ATTGTGTTTCATTAAATAATATGCAAAGCCTCATTCTTTGTTCCCTTCTTCTATCTGTGAGAAGGACTCTTGTACAACTGGTTGAAATTTCCAGTTGATCTCAATGTTGTCATTGGATGCCCATTTCTGACTGAATTGGAAAACGATAGACCTTCTTATAAAATCATCAGATTCTCGAACTACATTCTTGAACGACTTTAAAGTCAGACAGAGTTGGGTAATAATTAAATCTGACTCTGAATATATATTACAACATATAGTTAAAATAAATAAATTCAAAAAATGAAATTTAGAGGTAAAGTTGTACTGCATAAATCATTCCAACCATAGTGTATAGCTGTCAGTCTCTGAGCATAAACGTTTTAAGCTGTCTAAATATGTGTTAACATTATTCAAATGAGTTTAATTAATTAAATATATTTCTGTTAAATTAATTTCAATAAAAGAACTGAGATTATCAGTGTTGCTTGTATATATATTTGTAAAGTATAAAAAACAAATTTTTTCTGAATTTTTGTTGTGAGTTTATTTTTGAATCAAAAAACTCGTCTTAAAGCAACAGAATCTTAGTTAGCTTTTTTTAACGTCAGATTAAAAAAGGTAGAGCAGACAATATTCTTGTCGGATTTCAAAAAAATTTATTGATTAATTTGTGTAAAAATCTCGCCAATTTCACTTGGTTTGTTATGCTGATTATAGTCAACCGATAATGCCGTGTGTTTATTAGAAATGCTGAATTCTCTCTCTTATGGTTCTGATTATATTAATTTTTTTACTCGAAATTATGTCTATAAGTACGTTTAGAAAACACTGCTTTTCATTTTATATAAAAGCGCTTTTGCAAACCACTGCATTGCTACATTCAAGCAATTTAATAACTAAGAAATAAATACTATATAAGAATATTAGCTTGTATTTCAAAGCATCTTAAGTTAATACAAGACATAAAATTTTGATGAAAATACATTCGGATCATGCATTTTTATCATAATTATGGGGAGACCTTACACTTAACTATTAGGTAGTAATTATTATAGATAAAGAATATTTTTTCAAAGACACTGCAATGGGCTATATACAAATTTTATTCTCAACTAACACTTATCGTTAGTTAATCATTTGAAACAAAACTGTAAGATAGAAGATATTTTTATATCTGTAACTTTTAGCAATAACTTTTTGTAAGTTTCTTGTTTATGAAATTAATGAACCGTTCCCTTATGATATTCTATCTCAAAGATATGTACACGTATGTGTTATATATTGTATGCGCTACAATATTTATTTTTCTATAGTATCTTTTCTATTTCTTCTTTTTTTGCATATATAAATTACTAAAAACGATTTTGTTTACAAAAAAATTTAGAAACAATATTTTTATAGCAATTTTTAATTTTTGTTTATATAACCAAATGGACGTCCTTTGGCTATATGCGAGAGAAGACCTACTTTCCGAAATAGTTTAGCGGAAAATTTATTTGTTTTATATTCGAAGTTCATGCATAGTTACAATATTTGGCAAATGCTGCGAAATTTTTTATGTTGACAATTGGAGCACGTCCTTTAGCATAAAACTTTCTTGAGGAGAATACGTGTACATGCAGAGGATTATAATCAATGCAACCAGAAATTCATACTTTCTAAGCCTTTCGAATCACTACAACAAAAAATTAAAGGCAATTTGTCGACACAATTTTGTCAACAAAGAAAAATTACTTAATTATTCGATATTAAAAAATTTGAAAATGGAAAGCAGGTCAGTCGAGAAAAAATAGATAATTTTATTTATTTTTTCGCATTCATTAAGTAACGATTTGCGGCTATTGTCGCTTTTGCCAATTGCGGTTTTTTTTATTAATGATACTCATCATATTGGCTTTGATAAATTCATTATTTAATCAAGCTGAGAACTGTAATCATTGTGAATCACATCGGTGCCGGGTAAAATTGAACCCACAGACACAAAGGGGACTTTCGTTATTTTGTATCTGTTTTGTTTTAATCAAACAATTTAAAAAATAAATTAGCGCCCTATAGGTAGGTTTACACTGCGAAAATTATTAAATTAAATAATGTAAACAAAAAAAAACTAACACATTAACGATATACTATAAGATGAAGTCATTAGCAGTACTACGGTATACTGCGAGTATATCCTCTTATTAACTAATTAAGTTTATGACAAAATAAGAAAAACAAAATTACATTTAATAACTTTTTTTACATTAAATTAATCAAAATAAAATATATAATAATATATTAAAAGGTTTCCTCCAGTAGGTTCAGTGAAGATTAGCTATTTAATACGAGAAATGGGACGTTCAAGAATGTAAGCAACTACAAAATGATATATCCAAATAGATTGCGATCTTAAAACCAGTTCCCCAATAATCAATTTTGTAATCATTATATATTGTTTTTCTTCATAGCACTCTAAAGGGAACCACACTTTCTTAATACTACTTTCTTTTTAGAGAAAAAGATTACAACAATTAAGTTAATTCAATTTACACTTAAAATATATTTTAATTCTAGTATTGGTATTTCTTTGTTCAGTGCATTAGAAAAAAATACTGATAAGATATAAAATCAAAAATATTTCAAAACTAATGATTAATAATTGCGAAATAAATGCAACAGAGTTCTAACAAAGGTAAAAACGACTTATATGGTCAAATATCTCGATATAGCAATTATAGATAGATGTTATCTTCGAAAGTGTAAACTTATCAACAAAGAGTAAATACTTTATTAGTTGTTAGTATTCACTGTTTGATTGGTAATACTACTTTTAATGGAAAACAATTGGTTTTTTTGT